GCCTGTGGCTCTGTCCAGCTCCTCACCCTGGCTCCGGGTCCCATTCACCACCCTGCCTGGGCAGTGCCCCCAGCCCCTACCCCACTCCCTCCCTCACCGTGGGGACCTCGATCTGCAGCACCCCCATGCCTCTTCCCTCCCCCACACCCTTTCCCCTCCACAGACTTACTTGCAGGACGCTGCTCTCCACACTGCCTGGCTGCGTTCCTGGCCACGTGCATGAGTGCAACTGCGCACATGCACATGACATCTTGGGGTCCTAGTCAGAAGACATTATATTTATCGGCTGAACGTTATCGGTGAACATTATCGGGTACACCGGTCAAAAAAAGCCGATAGCCAATAGTGTTAATTTTCCTTTTATCAGTGGTGATATGATATACAACCAATATATCAGCGCACCTCTAATCCTTTCTTCTGCAATTTTGCTGGTAGCCATTCCTGTTAGTCTCTCTCTCTCTCTCAGCCCTGCAAACTGTTTTTAGCTCTAGCTAAAAACCTGACTTAGGTGTGGTAATATTAACTCATGTGTAGAAGTGACTGACAGTGAAGTATTGGAGGCACTGCCAAGATGCTCAGGAAGGCTAGATTTTCTTTTATGAATCTGAATAAGAAATGTGCATTTAACTATACTGATTATAGGGCTAATGACAGCAATATTTTTTACTATTTTGACTATTTTTTTGCCTAGTTTGTTGGGTTTCTTTAAACTTTATATATAATTGAGTAAATGAGAGCACGTCCTAATAATTATATTTGTTCTTGTTTTGATCTTAGACTGCATAATACAGTGCTAATCCCCAACATCTAGTTTCCCTTTAACTGGAGAAAAATATGTGGTGTTATGATGTGCCATCCCATCTGCACCCCCCTTTTCAAAATCCTCGATCTACCCGTAGATTCATAGATGTTAGGGTTGGGAGGGACCTCAGTAGGTCATCAAGTCCGACCCCCTGCCCTGGGCAGGAAAGAGCGCTGGGGTCAGACGACCCCAGATAGGTGTTTGCCCAGTCTCCTCTTGAAGACCCCAAAGGTAGGAGAGAGCACCACCTCCCTTGGAAGCCCATTCCTGATTTTGGCAACCCTTACTGTGAAGAAGTTCTTTCTAATGTCCAACTTAAATCTGCTCTCTGTCAGCTTGTGGCCATTGTTCTTAGTTACTCGACGGGTACCCTAGTAAGCAGAGCATCTCCTATTCCCTGTTGCCTTCCACTGATTAATTTATAGGCAGCCACAAGATCACCTCTCAGCCTTCTCTTGTGAAGGCTGAAGAGATCTAGGTCCCTCAGTCTCTCCTCATAGAGCCTTGCCTGCAAGTCTCTGACCATACGAGTGGGCCTCCTCTGGGCCCTCTCAAGATTCTCTGCATCCCTCTTGAAGTGCAGCACCCAAAACTGGACGCAGTACTCCGACTGTGGTCTGACCAGTGCTGCATAGAGGGGAAGCATCACCTCCCTGGATCTGTTCATCATGCGTCTGCTAATGCATGATAAAGTGTGGTTAGCCTTGTTGATCACTTCGTCACATTGACTCATGTTCATCTTGGAGTCAACTATGACTCCAAGATCCCTTTGCACTGCTGTGTTGCTGAGAGGGTCATCCCCCAGCCTGTATGTGTGTTGGTGCTTCTTTTTGCCCAGGTGCATCACTTTGCACTTGTCTTTGTTGAACTGCATCCTATTTCATTCTGCCCATTTTTCCAACCTGTCCACATCTACCGAGATCCGTTCTCTACCCTCTGGTGTGTTAACTTTACCCCATAATCTGGTATCATCTGTGAACTTGGGCAGGGTGCTCTCCATGCCCTCGTCCAAGTCACTGGTGAAGACATTGAATAGCACTGGTCCAAGGACCGAACCTTGTGGGACTCCACTGCCCACATCTTTCCAGGTCAATATCGACCCGTCTACCACCACTCTCTGGGTGTGACTCCTAAGCCAATTTGCCACCCACCTGACCAAGTGATCATCTGCATCACAGCCTGTCAGTTTATATACGAGAACAGAAAAGATCGAAGGCCTTCTTAAAGTCTGGGTAGATGACATCTACCTTGATTCCTGCATCTAAGCATTTTGTGACCCGGTCATAAAAAGAAAAAGGGTTAGTCAGGTAGGATCTACCTGCAATGAATCTGTGCTGATTTCCCTTTCGTCATTATTTCCCCTGCTGGGCTCCCACAGATGTGATCCTTAATGATTCTTTTCAGAGTTTTCCCAAGGATAGAGATAAGACTAACTGGCCCCTAGTTTTCCAGTCCCCCCCCCCCTCCCCTTCTTGAAAATAGG